GCCAATAATGGGACATTTATATTATTGTGAAATTATAGGGACATAATAATCATTTATTTGTGAATTGTTGTGCAATATAATTGATAACCTTTATGGTCCTATGAATGAAGAAAGTATATTTCTTGCCCTTAAGTGTCTAAAAACTACAGGTTATCTTCTACATACAAACATTTTAAACTAGTGTAAACAGTTACAGGACATTGTCTTTGTAATGGAGTATTTTTACAGTGCGATATTAGTACTTTTACTTGGACACACATTTGTTTAAGTTCACCTGAATATGACCTCTGACTCTTCCTCTGCTGTCTGTAGCCCGTCTGTGTGTCTGGAAGTGGGCAGCGGCTCCGGAGTGGTGTCAGCATTTCTGGCATCAGTGGTTGGACCTTCAGCGTTATATCTGTGAGTGATTCCCCCCCCCCCCCGTCCAGCTAATAAAAATTAACTTGTTGTTAATGAATGTGTTTTCTCTTTCAGCTGCACTGACGTGAATCCCGCAGCAGCTCAGTGCACAGCAACGACGGCTTCCTGTAACAGCGTTTCACTGCAGCCCGTCATCACATCCCTGGTGAGAGAGCTTCTCATTTCAGGTGTTTTATGTGTTTTGTGTGCACAGGTTTGAATTCTAAAGGCTGTGTTCCTTCCCTTCCTTTAAGGTGGAGAGTCTCCTGCCCCGGTTAAGTGGGAAAGTGGACGTCCTTCTCTTTAACCCTCCCTACGTGGTCACACCTTCAGAGGAGGTGGGTCAGCTCGGTACCGCAGGTCATCTTCAGATCAGAGATGAGGAGCGTATTAACGTGTGCCTCTCTTCCTAGGTTGGCGGCTCAGGTATAGAGGCTGCCTGGGCCGGCGGGAAGCGAGGGCGAGAGGTGACCGACAGATTTCTGCCTCTGGTAGCACAGTTGCTCTCCAGCAAAGGGTTGTTTTACCTCATCACCATTGCCGAGAACGACCCAGGTGAGTTCACGGATGTCTCTGAAATGGTTTTGAGTGCAGGAAACATTCTGGATAACGAGCCCAGTCATTTTTCTTTTCCTTCCTCCCATCAGAGGAAATCATCCGCTTACTGGGCCAGTGTGGTTTGACAGGAGAGTCGTGTTTGTCTACGAGAGCTGGAAATGAGCGTCTGTCCGTGCTGCGCTTCCATCGGAGCTGACGGACGTGGAGCTGTAAGCAATAACCTGTTTCACGCAGCAGCCATTATCGTTTATTTGGCTGCTTGCCTTAACAGAACAAACAAACACTTCATTGTTAAATCTTTATTAAAATAAAAGGTTTTCTAATTAGTGCAAACAAAAATAGTCACATTAATCATATGCTTTCCTATTAAAAGAATAGGCTAGAATACATTTTAATAGTAGATTATTTTATTTATTTAGTTCAGCGGTTCCCAACCTTTTGTTTCATTATTGTCGCGACGCTTTGACATTTAGCCTTACTTTAGAGTCCTCGAGCTGCTGCTGCGACATCCTAAAAACATTCCCAGTCAGAAAGGACGCAGCGGTTCGAGTGTGAAATCTGAATCGTTTGGTTTTCTACTCACAGGTTGATTGGAAACAGCTTCAGCTCTCACTCCCAGTAAGTATCAGCAATCTGTTCACTATGTCACTGGTTCCCAACCTTTTTTCTACCATTAAGTAAACTGTTGACCTCAGCTTAAGTGACACTTATATTAATTTATATATACATTTTTTATCATATTCAGAACTGTACAGTGAACCCAAACAGTGAACTGTAAAACAAGTGAATTTGAGCAGATTATTTCCAGTTTAGGGAACTTTTTATACAATTGTCATATTTTTGTATGATTTTTAACAATAATACATCCTTTATAGGTTCTTTTCTTTAGTGTTGGTTTTCATTTTGAATTGTTTAATTTAGTCTTTTCTTGTCCCTGACACTTGGTCGTTGTTCTGTTAGACGATTTACTTTCCTTCACAGAAGTGAACCAAATTCTGAGATATAAACCTACTGTGTATGTTTTTAAAGTTTACTTAACACCTTAAAATTAAGTCCTGGTGACCCTTAGGCTTCTTTTACACAAACTAATTGCAGTTACTGGGTTCAGTGTACAGTTCTCAATATAATATGAAAGATAAAAGTGTATATATAAATTAATCTAAAATGTCACTTCAGCAGAGGTCATCAGTTTACTTAATGGAAGAAAAAAGGTTCCTTAAGAACGACTGACGTGAACAGATTGCTGATACTTACTGGGAGTGAGAGCTGAAGCTGTTTCCAATCAACCTGTGAGTAGCAAACCCAATGACTCAGATATTTTACTTGTCCCGTTTCACCCCTACTGACTGGAAATGTTTTAAGGATGTCGCAGTACATCAGATGACTCTTAATGTAAGGGTAAATGTGAAGTGTCTTGACATTATAACAAATGCCACACAAAAGGACTGGTTGCATTCCCACAGGCAGGTTTAATAAAGAAATAACTGATATACAGACGTTCACAAATTCATAATTATACTAACATCCTCTATCTGAACAGCATTACAAAGACCACTGACTATTCTATTCCAGTTTAGAAGTTAATTCCAGTGCAGCTCACATTTCTAAAAAGGTACAATTGGAATGTTTCAAGTATAATACTTGTTTACTCAGGAAGTTGAAATGCTACCATTTAATCTAAACCGACATCAGTATGACAGTTGGAGGTGGTGGACCAGTGAACGTTAACATCTTGACCTTGTTAGTGTTTTCGTTTCAGGATTGAGTAAACCTTTAATGCTGTGTCCTTTAACCCTGTGAATTTGACTTCCAGGTGATGTGTCCGTCCTCTCCAAGCCTGACGGCGCCGCTGGCCACCAGCTCCAGAGCGGCGGGGAAGGCTCGGTGCTCGGCCTCTCGGATTCTGTCGGCCAGGCTCTCCTCCGTGTCGCCGCCCAGCACGGGCACCGCCTCCTGCGCGATGATGGCTCCTGCGTCCACCTCCTCCTGAACACACAGGGAGGAAACAATGTGTGACTCGTGCAGTTGGGCTCCAGGTTTCAACATCTGTCATTTCCTTACTTACTGCTACGAAGTGGACCGTGCAGCCAGCGACCCGCACCCCGGCCTGTAGAGCCTGCTTCTGGGCATTCACACCCTTGAACGACGGCAGCAGGGAGGGATGGATGTTCAGAAGCTTTCCTGTGACAATAACAATGTACAAAATGTTAAAAAAAAAAAACCTTCCTGCAACCCAGCTGATTATCATATTTCATATGTAAGAAACTTTCTCACCATTCCATTTCTTGACAAGCGTCCCCGTGAGGATCCTCATGAACCCGGCCAGACACACCAGCTCCACCCCGAATTCTTCCAGCACGCGATCGATGGTGCCATCAAACTCGGCCCGGCTCCCATACAGCTTGTGGTCCACCACCTACGAGACACAACAGAACATAAGCTTTTATTTTTAGGTTCAGCAAAGTTATTCTCCAATTACTGCACCCACTTCTTTTGCTTCTCAGTATTTCTTTACTTTAATTGTTTAATAGCAGCAAGCTCATCTTGTCCTGTTTTTAGGCCCAACTACAAACCTTTAATTAAAACCTTCACTTTATCACCACACCGCACTCGTTGCGTTGATGTGCAGCCTTAGAGGGGAGAGCAACCAGCCTGGTGCATGTTATTGTGTAAATCACTGTATATACAAATTAACTTTATTATTTTTACCCGTGTCTGGATGCCGGCTAGTGACGCTCTCTTCAGGCCCTGAACTCCAGGTCTGTTGGAGATCACCACCACAATCTCTGCACAGCTGGATGGGCGCTTGGCCTGCTCTATCAGTGCCTGCAGGTTGGTGCCTGGGACACAGAGGATTCAAAAGGTTGTGAGGACAACAGAAAACTTGTTAGAGGGACTCTTGTAATCCAGGTTTAAACTGAATAGTGTAATATTTTGGGAAACATGCTTATTGGCTTTTTTTGCCCAATGTCTGTATGGTAAAATATATAGCTGGTTAGCTTCAGTCTACAAGGACCATTAAAGCTCACTAATAACTAACATGTTGTATATTGTTTGTTAAATCTGTACAAAAACTGAGGTTTAAAAAGAGGATGTCATGAGGACTGTTTGTGGTTACTGTACAGACGAGAGTGGTATCAATCTCAGCTAACTGTAGGCAAGAAAGCAAATGTGCACCTTTCCCCAACTGTTCTTATTTCAACATTAAGAAAGAAAACACACCTGAGCCAGAGATGAGAACAGCTACTCTGGTCCTCTTCTGTGGCGTGCTGCGGTCACCATGGCAACCTCCATTCTGCTCGACAAACTCTCCACTGGGGGCGGGTCCTGCATTCAGCAGGCTGTGTTTGAGGTTGCGGACCACCACAGGTTCTGCCCCTGCATACACAAACAAACATTTTTATTTACATCCTGTAAATTCTGGGATTAGACTCCGGTATAGGCAATATAAAAATAATAACAGGTAATAAGCCTTTCCAAGTATCAGTGTGTTACCTGTTTGCTTGTGGGCCAGTGAACCCACGATCCAGGCCTCTTCATGTGCCTGAAGCTGGCGTAGGACCCTCTGAGCATCCAGAGGGGAAACCACCAGCACTGCCCCCAGGCCGCAGTTGAAGGTGCGGGTCATCTCCTCCTCGCTCAGACCCCCCTCCTTGTGCAGCCAGGAAAACACGGGGGGGATGCTCCACCGAGAGGCATCTGAGTCACACATCAACACAAAGTGTAAATATTGCTGAGAGCACACAACCATATAGGGACCTTTATATTGTCAATGAAGGAGAATTGATCCTAGAACTACTAGAAAACACAAACAGGAGAACTGTTTCTATTTATTCAGGTTTACATCACTTCAATGTGCACAAGGGTCATACCTCTAATAATGTTTATACAGGAAACAGTTCTCAGTCTTATTTCTCTCACACTGAAATGCAAATGCAGCTTCATCCAAAGCCTTTCCGCTTTGTTGCCGTCAACATATTTATGTGCTTATGCTGCATTTGAAGCGTCTGCATGCTTTCATCTCACCTAAATCGACTGCCAGCTCCTGGGGCAGCACCCGAGGGATGTTCTCCAGGAGCCCACCACCTGTGATGTGAGCGTAGGCTTTGACAGCCCCGCTGCGAAGGATTGGCAGCAGCAGACGACTGTAGATCTTTGTTGGTGTCAGCAAAACTTCTCCTGGAATCAGAGTTAAAGTAACAGTAACAGTCATTTTCCATTAATCTGCTCACTTTCTCAAATGATTCATTTATTTACATACTTTAAACAAGACAAAATAACTAAACATTGAAAATTAAAGAATTCTAATTGTAAAATCTTCCAAATTAAGAGCTCACTCAGGTGATCGAGGTTTCTGCCCCGAAGGCGACCTACCGACAGTCTGTCCCGACCTTCCAAAAGGAGCCGGGGAGCTGTAGCTCAGGTTGGCCCTCTCCAGGACTTTGCGGACCAGGCTGAAGCCGTTGCTGTGGATGCCCGAGGAGGCCACTCCAATCAGCAGGTCCCCCTCGGCGATGTCCCCCAGCCTGGGCAGCAGGGCTCCGCGCTCCACTGCTCCAACGCAGAACCCGGCCAGGTCGTACTCTCCTGGAGCGTAGACGCCCGGCATTTCTGCTGTCTCACCACCTGGACATGAGCACGACAAAATGGAGCCACAAAATATAACAATATATAGAATATATGAACTCTTTTGGATGAAAGAAACACCAGAATATGAGTAAACAGACTCTCTCTCATATACATCGTAATCCTCTCTCACCCAGCAGAGCGCAGCCGGCCATCTCGCAGGCCTTCGCAATGCCGCCAACCACCGAGGCGGCCACTTCCACGTCCAGGGTGCCGCAGGAGAAGTAGTCAAGGAAGAAGAGTGGCTCGGCCCCCTGAGCCAGCACATCGTTCACACACATGGCCACCAGGTCCTGACCCAGGTCGCCGTGCTGGCCACACGCCTGAGCAATCTGACAACAAAGGAAACAGGGAATTTAAAGCTGCATGGGAAAAGACTGAAATGCATTTAATAGCAGTAGGAAGTGAGGCTTCATGTGACTGCTATTTATGATCACTTGAGGGACGTTTTGGCACCTTGATGAATTAAAAAAAAAAACTCTAGACTCACTGACAATAAGCTGAATCTGCTTCCAAGTATCCATGAAATAATCCTCGATCTTTCTCACTTTAAATTAATGAAAGTTGTATTTCCGTTCAGGGGTTTTAAAGAAGCCAGAGTCTAATCCTTTGAATCCGTCTGCAGATAAGTACATCTCCCCTGCTGCACCATTACGTCTGAGCCAAATTTTGAAGGGTTATTTCTTGGCCGTTCTGGCGTCTTTCAAAGCCAATTTAGAGTGCGTCGAGCTTTTAATACTTTAATTTGTTCGAGGACTTTGAATTTACAGTGAGGGCCACATTTCTGCACAGTGACGACAAACAGCAGCGAGGTGGCAGACAGTGAACAGTGGACCTGAGTGCTCGGGATTGGCTGTCAAACCTTCATATTCTCCCACCTTGAGTTTGGTCCCTACTCCGTCTGTCCCAGAAACCAGGATCGGGTCCACAAAACCTGCTGCCTTCAAGTCAAACAGCCCAGCGAAGCCTCCCAGTTCTGCATTGCACCCTGGTTTAAAAAAACAAAACTGATTCATCCATTCTTTCTAATTAGACTGTTTAATTCAGCATTTACACTACAGTAACAACCATTTGTTTCTGAATGAGAAAAAGGTTTCAGTAGGCTGCTTTACACACAAATACTCTTATTAAAACTGAGAATAGTATTGAAACATGTCCCAATAGTTCTGTTACATATGAGCACTTCAAACATCCAATCATTATCTGGATGGACTACAAAGTATTTATATCATATTCTATATATGAGAATGAAGTTACCAGCGCGGGACGTTGCCTTGGCCAGAGGCTTGATCATGTCCACCAGCTTGTTCCCGGCAGCGATGTCCACTCCGCTGTCCTTATAGGTCAGACCTCTGTCAGAGAGACATGATACCCATCACTCAACTGGTGCTGTGACTGTTACTCCCAGTGTTGCATCATGGGGAAATATACACATCATAAGGATCTTAAGTACATGTGTAAAGATTATTTGCTCAGTAGATTAAAGAAATGCTAGGACACAATTATATCCAAAGTGAAGTTTATTATTCAATAAGTTCTCCATGATGTACAGTAACTACAAAATAAACACAACCGGAATGTTTTAGCTCTTATGTGTGCTTTTAGCTTTCTACTTTCACACACACCTGTGTTGGTTCAGGTGGGCGATGGCGTGGTGGCCGATGTCGCGGCGGTACACGGCGCCCGGAAAGCCGACAGCAGCCACGCCCTGATTGGCCGCCTGCAGAGCCGCCTCCAGGGACGGCCTGACTGCGGTGACTGTCAGGACCCGCCCACCGCTGGAGACAACGGCTCCGTCCTTCAGGGCGGTGCCAGCGTGAAAAACCTGCGACCCCATCTCCTGAACCTGAGACAAACCTGAGGACCAGCAGAAGCACTGAGTTTAAATGATTCTGATGGCATAGAAATCCTACAAATAGAGGCTCTAAGACAATGTTTGAACCCATTAAAACCCTTTTTTGTAGTATTGTGAGGACAATTGGTGAATGAAGTTTGCTCGAATAATTCCATGAAATATGAAACACAAATGTCTTTTTGCCGCAGTTTGTCCAATGGGAAGATTTGCTCTTCTCCTGTGTTTATTTTCAATGAAAGGGAACTCATATTCATTAACTTTTGGTAATATGAATATAGAAACTTGATGGCCATTTTATAAACCAAATACTACTAAATGTCGATATTTCGTGTGTCACAAGCAGCAAATAAATTGCATTCATAGATTAAATGTTTGCTTCTACATTTTCTGAGAGAGAAAAAAACAGCACTAGTAGAAGAAACAGAAACCACTTGCCACACAGGTTTTGGCAAGGAGTTTAATTAGTGTTGGGTAATTTGGCCTGAAATTGAGTGTGGCAGAATAAAGGAAATAATGAGCCCATTTTAGGGCACTTTCACAAGACTGCAGGATGACATCTTTGAGAGGTTGGATACAAATTAAAAAAGGAAAATCAGGGTTCACCAACAGAACAGAGCAACATGAGTACGACTTGTTCATTAACTGTGTGGAAGTCCGCATATAGAACACATTTTACTTCCTTCAGTGCAGAAATATTTAATAAGTCTCCTCTCTGCTATAAGGTCAAGGATTAATGGTTGAAGCTTCAGAAGTCTCTTCAATAACTCTTTCAGAAGCTGCTTCATTAGAATCACGCACACACAGTTGTTCCCCCTCTCTTCTTCCTGTGTACCTGTGATCTCCACTCCCTTCTTATAGGAGCCGGGGTAACCAGCGCTCGCCATAACCACGGTGACTGCAGAGCTGTCCTGGTGCCACACGGGGGCGCTGGAGGCCAGTTTGCTATTCATGGTGTTCAAGATAACTTCATACAAGTCGCTCTTCAGCAGCGGCAGCAGCACCTGGAGGAGCCACAGCAGATATTTAATGTTCATTTCACGAGACGATCCGGTGAGAGATGGCGGTCGGAGAAACCCACCTGACACTCGGGGTCTCCAAACCGACAGTTGAACTCGAGGACCTTTGGCCCCTGCTTGGTCAACATCAGCCCTGCATACAGCACACCTGGAAAAGAACAGAAAAGATGAATCTGAAACTAGAAACTCGCTGCAAACATAAGAGAACAGATGCAGAGATGTGTAGATAGAAAAGGAGCACTTACCCACATAAGGAGTTCCCTCCTCCTTCATCCCGTCCACAGTCTTCTGAAGGACCGACTCTCTGATCTGCTGCAGCAGCTCCTGGCTCACCTGCACAGGACAGACAGACAGACAGCAGCACGGAGCTCATTAAAGAATAAAAAGAATAATAACTTAAAAGCCCAAAGAGGACCGGGCTGAGAGGAAGTGTCTACCTGAGGGGTGGGGCAGTAGGCCCCCATGCCGCCGGTGTTTGGCCCTAGGTCGCCGTCCTGCAGCCGCTTGTGATCCTGCGCCGGAGGCATCGGAGACACCGAGGAGCCGTCGCTGAAACACAGACACTTCGAGACAAAAGGGGGAGATCAGTCGTCCCGCTAATTCACACCCAAAGCTAAAAGGTTCCATTCTGTTCCACTCACAGACACTTCCTCTCCCTCGAGGAGCTCTTCAACCACCACAGTCTCGCCCGCAGATCCAAAGGCTCTGTCCTGCACCAGTTAAAGAAACAGATTTACCTTTGAAAATGAGGAAACTCAAAGCTGGAAAAATCCTTAAAGAGCCGAATAGATCCCAACTTCTGAGACTCCGACGGATATTATTCCACTGACCAACCAGGCAACTCGACGCCTGAGGTGGCAGCTTGACAGCACTTTGTATTTCAAAAAGGCCACAGAGAGGAGAAGGAAAATAAGACTTACTGCAGAGTTTAATTATTATGTATAAACTTGGTCTGACTTGGTTGGGAAGTTTCAGCCTTTAACCCAGCTTTGTTGTGGTGGGACTGATCGGGGGTCAGCTGTTCTCAATGTGTAAAATCTTTAGCTGAACACTGTTTTCTTTCATTTCCACTGCTGGCCAACAGAATTACCAACGATGACAGATGTCTCCTACCTTCATGATGTCCATCACAGCCTGACAGGCCTCGTCCGCGTCTTTTGCCACAATCACTCCCTTCCCCGCTGCCAGTCCGCTGGCCTTCACTACCAGCGCCGGGAAGTCGGCCCTGGAGACCCCAAAACAATGAAATAAGCTCAGTAATATGCAGTCACAACCAACATTTGTTGTACAGAAAACACATCTGGAACAGATGCTGCATGGTTGATGTGAAGCATTTTCTTTTTGTGGACCATTTAACACTTGCAGTGCATTATATAGTTTGTTCCATATGGATGGAGGCTGTCAGAATATGGCAGCTGTTGTTGTGCCCACGATGGTTTATATGACCAAATAAATGACTTTCACTGAGTAGAAAGGATTTTTTCTCTTTGTAAAAGTTACAGCTCTCTCTCATACGAGAGGCAACCGCCACATCTTAGATCATTAACTCATGAAACCATCTGAGAAAGTAAACTTCAGTGACAATCTCATTTTCTATTATGGTGCCAGTTGTGTGTGTTTAATGGCTCCGAAAACAAACTCCACAACTTTCCTGCCAGAAACTGATAAAACTGTTATTGTTTTACCATGAACCTCTGCTAATAACACTTATTAATTGGCTGGACAATGCTGGCTGAATCTTTATATCCTAAATACACTCTTCCAAAGACACAAACTGTCTGCTGTACTGACGTGCGGATGTAGCTGCAGGCTTCCTGGGGGTCGGTGAAGGAGCCGTAGCGGGCTGTGGGGATGCCGTGACGCTCCATGAAGGCCTTGGAGAAGCTTTTGCTGGCCTCCAACTGAGCTGCTTTGGCAGACGGACCGAAGCAGGGCACTCCGGCGGCCGTCAGGTCGTCTACAATGCCTGGAAGAGACGTTGAAGTTCAGGGAAAGAGACTTGAGAGAAAAAAAAAAGGACCCACACAGAGGAAACAGAGCCGGCTTACCTGCTGCCAGTGGCACCTCAGGACCCACCACAACCAGCCCCACATGATGGTCCTTACAGAACTGAGCCAGGATGGCGTGGTTACTCACCGATACCTCTGCACGGAGAGAAACCAGAGGCTCATTTAGACTCTTCAGACGCATATTTAAAGCAACCTATTAAACTAATGAGGCACAATAATGAACAGATATTTCTACGTGAACGGACTTCTCTTCTTGCACATGGGTGCTTTATTTATTAAAACACCAAGGGGTCAGAGTAGTTATGGATGATATTAAGTTCTTATCGGGGCAACCTGTGGTGTAAAAGAAGATTATACTGTTTATATTGATTGAGTTTAATATAATGAAGAGAAAGTAGAATTAAAAACTACAGGTCCCACATACTGATCAGTCAACCCACTGAAATTAATCAGCAATTGTTTTGATAGTCGATTAATCCAGTGGATCCATAAATCCACAATACACACAGAGAATTGTATACAACGTTCCTAAAGTCATCAGAAAACTCCCAGAAAGTATCAGTTCGTCAGGGGTCATCAGTCTATCAGTGACACAAAGGGGTCCCTTCAGGACAAAGGTTGGGAACCACTCGATTAATCACTTAAAGGAATAGAAAGACACTAATTTGCTTTCTTGCTGAGAGTATCTCGGTTTAATATAAAGCTGGACCCAGGCTAAAATAATAATGAAAGATTTCCAGGATATTTGGTCATTTTAAATTATTTTCCAGGTGTTTTCATGCCTGGAAAACAAGTCTCAGGTTTTCCAGGAATGTGGGAACCTTGAAACAGGTCAATAAATTCACTGGTTCCAGCTGATACTATGTATAATCTGTTTTTAGATAATAAATTAAATACCTCTTTGTTTTAGACTGTTCAGACAAACCCAGTTGATTAAACGGGACAATAAAAGACATTTTGATTAATGAAAACAATTGTTATTTGCACCCATAAATGATTCAATACTGTATTTATTTTCCTTCTACTATATAATGTATTCCATAAACAGGAATGTGCTGAAACCTCAAGGTGTGACTCTCACTAGTTTCTAAAAGCAGACATAAACTGAACTAAAGAGTGTTGGGGTTGGTATTCACCAGAGTTGCTGATCTTCCCACAGTTGGCCGTGCCTGCGTTACCCGGGGCCACCAGGACTTGCTGAATCTGTGGCGACTGGGCCAGCTTCCAGGCCAGCACGTGCTCCCGTCCTCCGCTCCCAACCACCAGCACCCTCTCTGCCATCGTACCTGAGCGACCAGAAAACAAGAGACCCCAGCGTGTCGTATTAAAACCGCTCACACCTTAAAAAGGCTATTGGACAGAGCTGCCTTGTTGTTCTTTAACCGTTCCTAAAGTACCCTTTTAATTGCATGCAAAGACTGACCTATAACGAAAGTGAGGAAGCGCTGACCTTTCCCGAGGCCTGGGGTCTTATATTATCTTGTAATGCCACACTAACACGGATCCAATCAACTAGAACAAAAACACAAGTCAACAATTAAATGGCATGGTCACCAGGCGAGGCCGAATCTCATTTGCATGGAAAAACAAAAGCATTATCAGGTTGAGATACAGTCACTCTCCTTCGACCGATTTATTCTGCAGCCTCTCTTTCGTTTTGGGTGTTTCATTTACCGAACGCAAACCAATGTTCTGTTAACGCAGGATTTAATTTATTATTTGCACATGTAAGGGACAGAACATGCAGATTTTTATTTACTGATGTTTGCAAACATCTAACAGGGTTTGTTTTTTAAAATTTAACTGAGAGGATTTCACACTAAAGGTTAAACATGATAGCTTCACACAATGTAAATTCAATCAACAGAATCCCTAAAGACAGACATTTGGATCAATATAATGTCGTCAGTGCGATAGAAACGAGTGATTCGACTAGTTTTGGGGCTTATTTGTTGTTCAGAACTTCCTAAATTAAACTAAAAAAGACTCACAATTTTCCATTTTACGACAAAATGTACAAATTCAACAACCTTTTACTAAAGAAACAAAGACAACCGCCATCCACTCAAACAAACCGGGGTCAGAGTTCAAAGCACCCCAATCTGCAGCGACCTGATCAACTGTGTGTTTTACAACAGTAACACACACACACACACACACACACACACACACACACAGTACAGAGGGGTGAGTGTTGCACAGTGGGTGCACATGCTCCACAATTAGTCAAATCACTGCCTTTGATTGGAATCACTCCACTCATGTGACTCATGTCAGGGAGCAAATCAAACCCATGAGTCCAACAATGCAGGGTTTGATTTAAACGCTCCTTAAAAGACAAATGTGCTTTATGGGGTGAAAAAGGTTTATTTTTATTATCCTACTGCAAACTCCACTGCAACTGTGCACCGTGTGACTAAAATCAGATCAATAACTATAAAAATCACATTTAACTGGTGTAAAAGATGTCAAATAAGTTAATATAAGCATTTAACTCTCTGTGTGTGTCACCAATATGGCTGCACATGCTTCAATATACTGTACATGCACTCATTCTGCACTTCATGATGGATGGTGTCTAACTCCTGAAGCAATTCCAGTACCTCAAAAAGATCAATACTCAGTTCAAACTCCAGCTAACTTCAATTGTTTTTCTGTGAACGCTAGTAAAGTAAAGCTAAAAACAAGTAAGATGCATTAGTCAACAGTTAGTTAGCAACATTAGCACACAGATACAGACACACATGTAGCATGCTGTCTTTAAACACTCACCTTGTGTGTGTGTTCAGTGTCTGTGGGACGCAGGAAATAGCCGGAGCCCAGTTCAGGACCACAGTCTCCTCTGCTCTCAGCCTGCGGACTGACCGTGGATGCAAACTACATTAACACACACACACACACACACACACACACACACACACACACACACACACACACACACACACACACACACACACACACACACACACACACACACACACACACACACACACACACACACACACCACGTGGATCCAATATAACATGATGATTAACTCAACAGCGAGTTAGCTGTTAACAGAGTCAGCTAAAAGTGCTCCAGAACATAAAAATGGTGGTTGTTTACTGTTTCCATTAATGTTTGTTTACTGTTTCCATTAATGTTTGTTTGTCTCCTCACCTTTTTCTGCTGCCCACGATGTTTTTTGGGGAAAGTTTGGAGATTTTTTTCAACTTCCTCGGGGTGTTAACTGCCGAGTGCATTATGGGAGTTGTAGTTAATTAGCAACGCCGGCTCATACACTGTATAAAAAAAGTGCCAAAGTTAGTTTTTAATAATTTAAAAACACGTTTTATTATTATTTATTTATTATTTTGACAATGAAGAGCCAGTGAACTGACAGGCAACCACAAATAAAACTATTGAAATAATTAATAAAACATAACATTTGAACACTGCTGGAACCATGAAATATATATAAAACAATTCAACTTAACAACTTAAATATTAATTATTACGGCAAAATAGCTTCCTTTTAATTGACCAATTGTTCCTCGTGCATTTTCATGTTTTGTTTGCGACAATCTTCATTTGTGAAATCAACCTAACTAGTAAATAAAGCTGTCACGTAAACGCAGTGAAGTAAACAGTACAATATTTCCCTTGAGTAAATGTGCTTACACCACTGACAATAACAATCATTTTGGTAGAAGCACCACTGTAATCTGTTACTAAGTTCATTTACTTGAGTATTTTTGTGCAACTTTATACTTCAGCTCCACTTTATTCTTGAAGAAAACACTGTAATGTAAATGTATTTACAGCTATTACTCTGCAGATTAAATAAACCTGAACTAATACAATACTGATGCATTGCTATACTGCATAAAGTAGTTCAATTAGCTCCAACTCACGCCTGGCATTGCTACTGTTACTTACACAGAGGATCTGATGTGTGGGAAAGTGAGCTGCCTCTTGGGGGACAAACCGATGAAGTACCCCGGCTGCAATGACTCCGCCACCTTTAGTGCTTAATGTGGCCTGTGGAGCAATCAGATGACTTTTGTCTGCTGGTATAAGCTTTAGAGCATCAGGACATAACAGCTCTGAAATATAAGCTGGAGCTCGGCCACTTTACTGCTCCGAAAGAAATCAATACAGTCTGAAAGTCGATCCTCAGGTTAACTGGAAGATGGGGTAAACGGGGACTGATGGGATCAATGCATGATGGCATAGCTGTAGTAAAAAGTAATCTTCTCATTGTTTGAAAACTACCTTATTTAAGTAGTTAACTGACATGAAACCGTGATAGAAATGTACATGGATGACAGTGTTGGTGAAGTTATTGAAGCTATTTTTGCAGCCGCATCGACAAATGATTTCTGTGGTTTTGTTTCTTGTCAATACACAATTTTATATTCCCTTTGTATTTATTCTTGTACTGTGTGAATGTTTATGTGGTTCAACCTGCAGTTTATCATGTGGTATTTTGTTGTTCACCGTTTTGCTTACATCTCTTCCAGGACAGTCCAGCAGGGGGGGATATCGGCACATCCTAAACACCAGCATCAATAAAGTGTTACGCTATCGGTTTTTTATTTTTCATATCACAATAAATAAGTCCTTGAGTGTCAGTCCGCTCACAACAAGGGGAGTTCAGGAGCGTTGAGGAGCTCTTGTCCCAACTCTGACTGCCGTAGGGCGAAGAGTGTGATGCCTGAACTGTACGCTGCTGGGATTGTGATGTGTGTTAACTTGGCTCCATCTTCTTCCTCTTCTTGGCGCATCTGCCTCACTTGACCTAACAGGATGCAAGTAGGGAGGAAAACACTGAGAACATGTGTGCAGACCAGATGAAAAATCTCCATAAATAAAAGTATAATTAGCTGCTTCACCCTCGACATCCAGGGACTTCCAGCGCGGCTCGGATAAACTGGACAGACAGCAATCTGGCGCCAGTCTCTGCAGGACGTCTTCTCGACGAATCAGCAGCACAGATTCGCTGCAGAGTCTCTGGTGCAACTCTCCCTCGCTCACTAAAAACAGGGAGACAAAAAAAAAAACCCATAATGCATCAGTATCAGGAGACTCTCCTGGAAAAGTTGTGTCCCGGCTCTTACTCACCTACATCTAAAGGATTGGTCATGAAAACAGCATTCGGTGCAACGCCGAATATGAGCTGATGGTGCCAGGCGTCAGGCACCTCCTCTCCTTCGGGCACGGCCAGCTGCATGTTCATGGTCGCCACGGGAACGGCACCGCTTTGGATCCAACGTGCGAGCCAGGGGACCAGTCTGACCAGCCGCCGAGGGTGAAAGTGGAAAAAGCGACCCATTACTTTCCCCTTACTGGCCTCCTCTGCTCCTTGGATGAGCTGAGCGTGAGTCGCACCTAAAAAGAAGTTTACTTTATTTAAACTCTAGAAACACATATTTTACTCATAATGTCCAAGTTCAGTGATTAAAGGTGTGTTTCCTTTTCCACTCAGAATCTCAGGTGTCTCACCCCTCAAATGTCAAAGTAAGAAACTGTCCAACAGCCAAAAAAGTCAATTACAGTCGCTCCTCTGAGGGACGTAAAGCTCTTTGTCTAATTGAGGAGGGCACCTCTAAATGCCAGCTGTCACACTGGCAGGAAACCTGCGCTCATGGGTTCAAGACGTTAGCGAGCCTCATTCAGCGGGGAAGTTATAGCCCCTGCTAGCATCTGTGAGTCCTGACATAATACTGTCTGTGGAGGCAGGCTGCGGTATGAACCTACTCAAAGTCATCCTTTATGTACTCATATTTCATTACCTGAAACGATGCAGAGCAGCTTGGCTTTGAGCTCACACCAGGTGTTTATAGAGACACAAAGGGTTTCTTTTGAATCTGTTTTGTCAGCTTGTACACTCTTCATAATCTTAATTATGTGTTCTTTCTGTTCTGTTTTAATGCCTTAATTTAGTGGGAAAAGCAAAATTAAAGCATACGGCCGTACAGCAAACAGTTAAAAGTTACATTAATATAAACATGTAATATATAGCAGTCTCATAGTCAAACAATGTAATAAATCCTTTCATATGTTTTATGTCCAAACTCACTGTAACTTTCAGACATTTGACATGATTTTCTTCGACTATAGGAGATGAAAATTAAGTGATTCATTTGTTACCCTGGAGGACAGAACAAGATCCAATCCAATCCAACTTTATTTGTTAAGCACTTTAAAAACAACCAAAGTTGACCAAAGTGCTGTACAGGAGAATAAATAAGACATCATAAATGTAAACAGTGATGGTGATGATGAAGACCACTGTGAGGTTTATTCCGTCTCCAAAATATATAAAAAGAAATTGCAACCTGTCATCCTGTCGATGTTCAAGGTTGAGATAATCTGAACTACTATATAATCCTGGTGTGTAGTTTAATCTAAAGTAATGCATCATATTCGTAATCATCATATGTTTGTCGTGTCGCACACGTCTCTAAAAACTCAGCACATTTACCAGCTTCACTGCGGGACAGCAGGTAGTCCGGCAGCGGTGACTCGTTCCTCCTCAGACGTGTTTGCACACAGCGGTCTGCCTCCTCAGGGACCACGTCCACGCCGAGGGCCCTCAGCACATCCACCACCGCCGTGGCCCCGCATGCTGATGCCCCTATCTGCAGGGTCTGCCTCTCCAGAGCCTCCTGGATGGACCACAGCATGGCTTCATCTGCTCCTGACTGCTTCTCCTCCTTCTCATCATCATCATCATCATCATCATCACCTCCATGGAGCTGCTTACACACTGCCTCCATCTGAGAGCCTCACCTGGAAAAAAAAAAACACCAGACACAACATCAATATCCAGTGCATGTGTAGTGCAGCATTACATTTCAATCTGAGGTCAATTCAACACTTAAAGGCTTTAAAACATTGCAGTAGGTGCACACATACCAGCAGCTGTACTATAAAGCTAATTTCCACTAGCGTTTTAAAGTCTCTCTGTTGTTGTAAACGGAATAAACTATAATTCACTCGCATGTTTGCCTTTATAGAGTTAGAACAACATTGTTTCCTCACCATCTCAGAGTGACAGCCAGCGACAATAACAAACAAACAGGGCGCATGCGCGAGGTTCTCCCTCTGTTCTTTGTTTACCAGCCTCACACAGAGGCAGAGAGACAACTAGCGCCCCTACTGGCCAGATTGAACCCACCAAAACTACACTGACATGGAAGTAAATTTCCTAAATGTTTTCCTAAAAGTTTTTTTTGTTTTAGTGCGTTGGTTATTTTGTAAAACACTGTTCTAGTAGCTGGTATAGCCACAACTACAAATCCTTCAAATAATGAAGATTATATCACTGCTGAAAAAAATCAAGTCTTTATAAATTGTTCTTCAATTTTTGATCTCCAGTGTATATACCGTCGATCTGTTTAAGGTATTGGCATGGACTTATTATATATTGTTTTAAACACAATGTGGAAAAACTCTTTGCAGTTTCTGATCTAGAAAGGTGCTACATAAGCAATACCTACATTTCCAGGCTGGTAATCAAACTAAATCTCTCTTTATATTATTTAAGTGGAGATATGAAAGATTCACCACGGTGTTTTCATCCAGCTACATCGAGGTGTTAATTTACAGGGAAGAAAGTGTTGATGCACAGACTGTGCTCAGCGACATGATTTATACATGTTTTTATAGCAACATTATATATCCTTTCATCCTAATTATCGCTGTTGCTCATAAGATCCTGCAGATTTCCTCCACTGTGTAAATGTGTCTCTATTACGCTGTATCTCTTTCAGCACATACAATTTCATACATTCAAGTAAGACAGAGCAGATTTCTCAGGGAATAGTTTTCTGTAAACAATTATTCATGTTGCTGTCACTTCTGGTGTTGAAGAAAATGTGTTGTGGATTCTGTTACTGACGCTGGAAAAAGATCTTGTACTTAAGAAGAAGGAGCAAATACAGCAGTGTAGAAATGTCTTACAAGCAAAAATTAGCATAGAAATATATTAAAAATACCAAAAGTACAAGTTCTCATCACTTTAATGTTGCAGCTGGTAAAGGTGGAGCTACTGTCACTACTTTATATACTGCTGGGTAGCTTAATACTCGATAATACATCATCATTTATTCATCAGTTATGTTTTGTATTAATGACTGGAATCTGCAAAGTGACTAAATCTGTCAAAATAAATGTAGCTGAGTAAAAAGAACAATATTTTCCTCCAAAAGGTAGTGGAGAACAAGTATGAAGTTGCAGGAAATGGAAATACTTTCTCTTGTTTCAGGAAGACAGTTGTGAATAGTGTCCACTGATAACGACAAAACCATCAAATTCACAACAAAACTGACATCATTTTAGCACTTTTACCCCAAATTATCTGTAAAAACTATGAGATCCACTAATACAGATTAAGATTATATATTAAAACATATGAGTTTATGAAATAAAGAGCCTTGTTAAAGATTTAACCAGCAGTTAACTTTACTGTTTGAGGTTTAAAGAGGTCAAATGATCCAATATTTCATAAATCAGATTGCAAACATTTGAGAAAAGCCCAGAAAAATGAATTAAAATGTCACCTGTCCCCTTAGCCTTAAGTTGTGACCCTTCGGAGGGGCCCGACCCATGGGTTTGGAACCAATGACTATAACGTTTTTAAAACTAGCTCCATCTTGAGCAACGGAAACAACAGAAAAATGCTACTTATACATTTATGTATCGGTATCAATAATCTAATAATGTCATTTAATAATATATCAGTAACAGGAGACATTTTATTGCAGAATGAGTACTTTTACTTCTTTGTAATCAAGTATTTTTACTGTATTAGTACATTTACTTGTAGGATCTGAATACAGTAGACACAATCAAGACTGACACTTTACCAGCAGGCCAAGAGATGTCAGTGTTGGTGCATTGGACTGCAGCAGGGAGCGGAGCAGCACATGTGGTAACACAGCAGATCAGTGGCGTCACACTTTGGTTGATGCGTGGTGCAACAGCCTGAGGCGTGCTGCGTGTCGCCGACGGCTGCCTTTATTTCACGTGAGAGCCGCGAACCTGAATTCTTTAGTTCTCCTGAGGCATAAAAGCTGTTTGTGAAAGGGCGAAACTAAGATGCTTTAAGGGGAAATTTCCTTTATTTTCCATTTTTAAGGTCAGAAGTTCAGAGCAGGTAGTCTTGTATTTATATGTTAATATTTGCAGATCCTCAATAGATGTTCATTTGGGTCAGTATGATTTAGTGGAGCATAAATTAAACACACCAGACTCCAAATCATCCAAACAGGACTCCCACTGGAGAACAGTTTTCTCCCAATTATTTTTGACATAAATTGTACAAACAGGAAACATTGGCTCTTCCTGGAACAGGAGAAGCCCAAGGAGGCCAAATTAGTCAAGCCACTGTACAGTGCCATCTGGTGGGGGAAAGGGAATACAAGAAATGATCCGTGCATTAAACAAACACTGTCAACGTCTAATTTTATGGTCCTGACAATCTTCCAGTTGATGTTTCCCACTGTGACGTTATCAGTGCAGGATCCGGGATCAGTTGTCAGTGCGTGTAATCATGAACTTCAGCCCTGGTTGGTATTCGTCCCACCTCCGCTCTCTCCTGGTTTTCCACATACAGCGACGGCAGCTGGAAGCACTACAAGCAGAGTGAGATTAAACCTGACTGGGCTCTCGGAACGTGACCCGGAAGCCGATATGAAGCATGTCAACAAAGAGACGAGGCAGGTGGGGAAAGTCTTCAAATGTCTGGGATGAAAGATAGAAGACGGAGCAGCTGTCTCCGTTTCTCAAAGGCAGCCTTCACCTCAACATCACCTCCTGCCATTTGCAGATGGGGAGAAGAGGAAGAGTTGAAAGCACCTTCGTTGGGTTTTCTTACTATGAAGTCATCACAGGGCTCGACTTCAACTCATCACACTTGTCAACAAATATAGAAATCAATATCCTTTCTGAAAAGAGATATGAATAATGAATACTGCGGGCATGAGGGTGGATTGAAACGTGCGGTGTGTGTCAATAATTATGAACTGCAAAGCAAGTTGAGGTAAACCGAGAGCTCCCATCTGCATAGAGTGAAAGCACAACTATAATAAAGACCAGCTGCAAATCACCACAACAACAAACAAACGTGGAGCAAGACTTTTGAAGAGGTTCAGACATGGCAGTTCACAAGACAGTGAACCTTCCCGTCAAAGCTCACTGGCAGGCAGCGGCTCAAGAGCATAGAGCAAAGAAAGAGACAGAAACATCCTTAACACCAAATCCTCAAGCTCAGCTAACTGTAAGTCAATCAGTCAATCATCAGTGTTGCTAACTGAGTAGCATCTGCCTTTGTAAAGCGAGTATCTGCAAACAGCGGTTGAGCCTAGTCTCGAACCGAACAATGCGGCCACTGTAACATTACTATGTTCTCATTACTGAAAATGAGAATTTTTGTGTTTCTATTAGAATGAGCCTTTAGCTCAGAACACACAAACCAGACACTGACTCTAGATGTGGCTGTTGGTGATCTAGATCACTAAATCCTACACACCGGACCTTTAACTATCTGAGAAATCTGCTGCTGTGCTAGCTGATGTCCACCTTAGGCTGAAACACTCTTCAGCAAACGTGCATGGTGGTCGTTTAGAGATATATTTCTCTTCTTTGAACACGCCGCCCGACCAACTCGTCTGACAAGCAGGTCTGCATCTGCAGTGACCCATAACACCCTTCTCCACGTAGATGTTTGTGTACACCTTCTGAGAGCAATTGTTAAAGCTTTACTCGCAGGTCTTTATGTGCCAGGTGTATTTTTGGAGCAGCTTGCATCTCTGAAGAATGAAATTCACTTGTGAATGAACATAAAAGGCTATATGTATTATCATTGATGTGACATTAGCGTTTAACAATGTTCTAAATTTGTTTTTGTCTTTGTCTTACAATGCTATGCAATTTCTGCTCCAGTCTGTGAAACTGGAGAAGGAAGGTTTTCCCTCTGCAACTATACACTATTCACAGAATATACAGAATAAGATGAACCATATTGATCATAAATGAGCTGCAAATGTGGTTTTTGAAATGCAAAACAAATTGCTGCTTTAGGTGCGACACAGTGGGATTAATCCAGTGGAGACCAACCTCCTCCTGGTGGATGAAGACGTAAAAGAGGACAGCGGCTCGGAAATTGTTTTACTTTGTTCTGATATTTAAGAATGACTGAGATAACATATTTCACTACTCTCTTTTGATTGTTGCTGGCATGTATATGGCTCCGTACATTTTCCAATATCTTAACGTCTATTAAAATGAACAGCTGGAGGCCCTTTGAGATTGTTTTTTCCCTTATTACACAGGGTCCACATTCCAAATGCATTTTATTTTGCTGTCCGCTGTTCAAAACCCACTCAGAAAGTGTCACTGTTGGTGATAGCTTGCTGCAAGCCTCCAGGTTACGACTGCCTGCTGCGAGCTGCAGAGTTCATACGGACACTTGGTGCTTCCAAGAAATGAAGAAAGAATCAGAGGGGAGGTCTGGGAATGTGAAAGCAGCGTCTTAGTTAATCCTGTGATCTTTACCTTGCTGCCACTACCCAGATGTTCAGGAAAAAGAGTGGGAACAGTGAATCTGTCAGCTGTGTACAGGCTTGCAGTCATCCCTTTGGAATAATAAGGGAGGCAGAGTCTATTTAAACACTATCTCCATGACCTCTTGGTGCACGGCAGCTGTGCAGGGATCTACAGGATTAACCGGCGCCTCTCAGGTAAGCTGATTCATAATAAATAGCAGCAACGCTTTGAAAATACCCATAACAGCACATTAGCATTGAAATGAGGTAGCACTCTTGTCAGCAGGTAGTTCTGGGTCACAGAGACAAACGTTGAATACTGCCGGAGGGACTTCAGCACACACTTGGCCGTCCCCTCCCAGGCCCAGTACGCCTACATTGCTAATGTCAATAGTGTTAACATCCCGGCTCGTTTGCAGAGGAGCAGGGGATGAATTTTCTTTAGAGAGCTGGAAGCCATCCATTTTGGATAGGTTTCACCTCAACCTCGCTTCACATTATGCAC